TAACAACAAGACCAACTACTTGCAGGAATCTGAATTTTGACATAACAGCTTTCTCTATATCAATGCAACTTCAGAGTGTTGTAATCAACATTTGTTTTTCTTCATTCGTGGCTGGATTTTCATTATCGCCTCCGTTGATGTCAATATTATTATTCGTCTTCATCTTGGCGGGGATGATTTTGACGATCAAATGCATAATGATTATTTTCATTTTTAACAAATATAGCGCTGAAGGACGTGTCGTGCAAGTTTTTACACACAAACCGATGGCAAATTAATGCCTCATGCTGAATTGATGTTAAAATCCTGGTTTTGGGCTCTGGAGTCAACAATATTAAAAATAATCACTTTGCCCAAAATGAATTTAATTATTTTGCTTCTGAGGATCATTTCTGATTTTGACAATTTTGGGTTGGATAATTAAGCACTGGTGAATATCAACAAACGCGTATTCGTTGTTCATTTCGCTCGTACGTAACAGCGAAGATTTTTAAAACAAACGCATTTAACCTACACTGGGTTGAAGCGCTAATCCTTGCGTGTGATGGTAAATGATAAAAACAGACACTGACAAAAATATTGGATTTGATGAAAAATAATGGAAAATATTAACCCTGCTGCTCAAACCGATTCTGTTTACGATGCGTGTGACGTGAAATCATAAATTCATGACTTACTCAAGGTTAAGACGTGACGGTTTATCTTTTTTACAGTGACAGGGTTAGGATACAGGAAGTTGATATAAAACTCGATCTTGGGATCTGAACGAGCTAATGCAGACTTTATCAAATCTGACAAATTAGCCTCTGGAGATGTTTTGCGAGCAAGATGGGGATATATTTGTAACTTTTGTGGCAAGATTCACCAGCTTATTTATCAACAAAATGCAATGGAAATGGCTTTAAAATAAACAAAATTAATTTGTTTATAATGCGTAGATTAGTAACCAATGATCTTACCAACTTATCTACGTATTCTGCTAAATGTTTGTATGGAGGTAGATTTCTTATAAACGGAAACTCATTGTATACCTGCTCTTCTAAGATGTTGTACAACTCTGCTAACTTGTCCTTGTTCAAAAATTGGTGTGACAAGGCCAAATAGCTTATCAAACACAGGTTTCTCATCACATCAGCATCCGCATTAAGAACTTTTGCAAACTTTTCTGGCTCAGAGAGTAGCCTTCTGGCCATGTTTCCATTATTGGAACTTCCACTACCTCCAATTTTCGGCCGGTTTACGTGCATCTTGAAACGCCCTTCGAGTTTGTTCGCCATCTGTCTGGCTTTAGATTTCACGTCCGGATGTGTGAGGGCCGGGTGTCTTGGTACCGTTTTTTTTTTTGCTGCTGTCCGAATCATCCACTCCACACAATTTAAGCGAGAGTGAAAATACGATGGTCCTAATTGTTCGTCCGCACGTAATAGGGGTAAAATTGTCTAAAATGCATAGTATGCACAGACTGGTGATGTTTAAAGCCATTTTTAATGGATTCTCAAGATGTTTTTCTACAAGAGTCACAATATTTCAGAACGTATATCAACCACAATGAGGTATTTTTAAGTCATTTTTACAAAATTTTAAGAAGTTTGAGTAAAATGCTCCAAAAACCCCAACTTGTCCTATTCTGCACATGACTATTCCCACTGGATTCCTGAGAATTTTTCCCATAAGAATGATTATATTTGCAAAGGTTAAATCAGCGCTGATTAGAGATAATGAATTTTGCTCCTTTTATGTCGATTTTTTCCCACTGTGCGTTGCTTTAGAAGCCAATCCTCTAAAAGGCTGATGGCTTCCTTTACTGGTAAACTCGAAAAAAGTGCTGTGACATCAAACGAAACCATGACTTCATCTTCCCGAATCTCTCCTGATGCCTGAAGTTGATTTGCGAATTCCTGTGTGCTGTAAACTGAGCGAGTGGTAAGGGGTTTAGGCATATTTTGAAATTCCCTTACTAGCCATTTGGCAAGCTTATGAGTGGGGGATCTTTCAGCCGAGATAATCTCCCTCATTTCGTTTCCTGGTTTGTGAATTTTTGGTAAACCTTTGATCCTAGATAGAATAGGGTTTGAAACTGTCAATTGATTCGCTGCCAATAAACGCCTTGCACTCTTTCAACGTTTTATCCACATGTTTAACCATAGATGGGAGGGGGTCAATGCTCAACTGTCTATATGGGTAATATCTAGTAATTTTCTCAGTCATCTGATTGTCATAGTCCTCTTTGTCCAACATCACTACTGCATTAGCTTTGTCCGCTTTTGTATAGAATACCGGCTTTGTTTTTAGTTCTTTGAAGATTCGTATTTCTTCTTTTCCGGTTTTACTAAGTGAATGACCCTTTCCGTTTTGTATTGTCTCTGAAATAATATTCCTGGCAGTCTCGTGTAATTGAATAGGAAGTGTGTGAGTAATTGCAGTCTCCATGTCAACAATGGCCTCTTCCACGTCAGGTTTTGAGGGGATCGCATATCCTAATCCCTTGTTGAGAAGTGTCAATTGTTCTTCAATTGTTCGAGGTTCGACAAATTTTAAAGATTTCCACGCAGAAGTAGGGTTACGGTATGTAATGTGGGTCTAGTCCTTTCATTCGGCCTATCACGCAAATAAATAATTAATTAAGGAATATTACACAAAAAATAAGGAAAATATTGATCACTGATGATTGATAAATGTGTACCACACACAAATCAATTTATATCACAACATTTCAATACATTTTCAGCTCTCGTAAGTAATAAAACTGGTTGAGAATATCACTCTGTTCGGAGTTTTTAGCCGCCATGACTTCTAAGGTTAAGATGGGAAGGTTGCACTGACGATCATCAAATGGCCTGATTATGGCATTTATTGAATGGAATTACCTGATAATACACACTAGACGTAAAACTCACAGTTACTGTTTGAATATTTTATGTTTATTTTAATTGTTTAACAACGTTTTCACAAGTAAATCATGGACCCAACTTTAGGGACACATTTCTTTTCTATGTTCCTAACTTTGGCCCATGAAATTCATTTGACAGCATATAGCAATAAGAGTAACGTCAACAATGTGGTTTGCATTTGGATGATAAGGAACGAACAGGAAGGGAGATTTTTTCTGCCAAATCTGTATAATGAACATCACAATGTTTTGATTTAGATATTCTGCGGTCGAAAGACGATAAGCGAAATTTTTAATTTTTAATTTTTAACTTGAGTGATTTAATGTAGTTTTCGTAAAATTTTCTCTAAGAAATGTTTTGAGGAATGAAGAGTATTAAGTTAACAGTGATAGTGATAAAAAAAATACATAAGAAAACGTTACCAAGAGCGTTTTTTTTTGAGAATCAAACAGGATAGGACGAAGTTGCATCCATAAATAGACCCAATTTGGGGACAATAGACCGATATTACATACATTTCCCTGGTGAGTTTTTGTCTTAAAAAAAGTAAGTTTTTCAACTTTTTGCGGTTCCTGATAGCAAACGACATGATAAGCATATCTAAGCATACCATTTAGCAGTAGAATATCGTTTGCAGGTAAATTAATTGATGAGTTATGATTAAAAACGTAATCTATGGCTGCATATTAAACCGAGGTTAGGGACGTATACCCTAATTCAAATAAATAGTTAAAATGCATTATTTTTTCTTGAATCCGATACAGATGAGTGGGAAAAGTTTTTCCAGTAAATCGCTTCACAGTTCTTCAATAATTTTTTTTTAATCCGTACACCCCCCCCCCCTCCCCCCGGGCAAACATGCGCAGAATTAGATTGATCCCCAATTGAGGACTGATCGATTTCTACGGAATCCATGTTAATTATTGCTTATATAAACAAAGCTGAAATACAGCCAATACTGATTGGACGTGCTGAAGGTTTCTTCTACCTATCGATCGGCGCAAAAAATATCATACGGTGCAATTTAATTTAATTAGCACGGTAGTATAGTTTCATAATGTGCCTTTTCACTAAGTCGTGTTCATTGGCTTGAAGATTCGATTATGGTATCTGTAACTATAGGACTTCTCGAGTAGCACGCTTTCGTTGTGAAAAGTTGACTGACATAAGTCATATAGAAGTTTTTACGACCGATTTGCTACCATCGGGCTACTATTGTTGTGTCGACCCAAGCCCCGGTACGTAAAATCGAAGACAACATTTAAAAAAAAAACTGCACAGTTCGAAAAAGTAGTGTACATTTTTGTCACTAAGAAGTACATAATCGAAGCGACACATATCATACAAATTTATAAATGAGTCAGCTCATGAAATATTCAAAATATTGTATGCAACCATCCATCTATGTAATGCCACGGATACACTTATATGACAAACTATGAGCATGAGCATTTTTTTATAACACATAATTATGAGCACTATACAACAACTATACACAAACTTTACTAGTGTAACCATGGATGTGCTTATAATTTATTATACAAATAATGCTCATGCTCATAGTTTGTCGTCCAAGTGTGTCTGCGGTATAAGCAACATTTCTTGCAAGTTGCTAGTTTACGTGAAAATGAAGTTTACATGCTTCAATTTTAGCATGCTTGGATATTTACATCACCATTAAAATTCATATTTTTTTTTTGCTGTGAGGAAACTCTTCCATTTTCTCTTGAGACATGCTCACTTTCTATGAGACATGCACAATCGCAAAGTCACCAGTCTTCTTGATATGATGTCTTCTGTTATATAAAGAACATTATGAACTTTTCGCTTGCTAATTCAATATCAAAAACACTAATTTGGAATGCCTTAAAATAGATTCACTAGATGTGACATTTGGCTTCAACACAACCTTGTCCTCTTTTCGTTGCTCAAAACTTATGGAAAGTTCCTCCCCATAACAAAAAACGTAGCTCTGTCTACACAACCAACGGTATTAATCACCAACCGATCTTCAGCGAGTGTGGCAGATCCTTTCGTGACCCACTTTCCGACACTTTTATGCAAATTCAGACACACACACTCGAATAGCAACATGAAAAAGATACTCACGAAAAACCGATTCTTGATCTTCGCACTGACGAACGTGAACAAAATATCCACCAGCGTCGCACTCATCTTGGGCAACCGAATCACGTGCACCTCCTTGCAGCGCACCGGCAGCAGAAAGTTGATGTACGGCATCATATTCTTCACGTCGGATAAATTGAACAACGTAAAGTGCATCATCGTCGTCTCGAAGCAGTCTATTATCAGCACGATTCCGGCCACCTGGATCCTCTCGTCGCAGGACAGAATTTCCATGTACATATGCAGATAGCGAACCAGATGGTGTAGCGTGTATTTTTCGACGTTGAAATGCCGGGACTTGATCAGAATCACAATGCGTCCGTTTTCGTCAAAACCCAGAGCTTGGAACACTTCATCTGCTGCCAGATCGCGCATGTCCTCGTGGGATGGGCTCAAGTTTTGGAAAAAGTGGGGGAAGGTCTGTCGCATGGACAGATATCGTTCCAGTGTTTCGCATGCCAGTGGGATCGAGAATTTCCTCTGTCGCAAGAATCTCAACAAAAACAACGGATCCGTGCGACACCTTCGGATGTAGGGGTGTTTGGCGATCCAAGCTCTCATCCCTTCTAGAGCTTGTGTGCGAAGGGTGTCTTCTTCGCGGAGCTGTTCCTTGGCTATCTGCTGGTACTTTTTCGTCAGAGTACTACGGTACTCAGCGAACTTCTGGGGACACTTTTCCACTCCGTAGGACACAGTCATCTTGACGCGGTGACGATCGAAACTCAACTGCCAATCGATGGTTGCGGTTTGCCGTTAGCAGCGATCGAAGCTCTAAAGTTGCCCACCAGATCTCGTATTTTGCGTTTGAATGTGAATGTAGGTATACGGGCAAGAGGCTCCGTACGGAACGAGGCGAAAAATAGACAGGAAAATGGCAATACACCTAGGTAGGCTCTGCCTGGGAGGGGTTCTTCTCCGGTTCATCACGCTTACCCTACCTGAAAGAGTTTTCGGGTCGGTGGGCATGCAGTGGTTTACCCCACTGCCGTCAGCAGCTTGGGTTGCAACGACGAAAAAGAACAAGTTGCTGAACTGGCAGCTGATCGGGGGTTGTTGGTGACGCAGTGTTTTCATTTTTAGAAGTTTGGTTGAGTAATATTTCGAGCCTGGGTATCGAAATGAGTCTCAATTGGACAATTACTACTGTCTGGGTTTTGGAATTAAGCGGATTGGGTCCAAACATTTTATTATTGGAGAAATTGGAGCCAATTTATTATTCACTGTTATGTAGGATGCAATGTAATCCACATGAAAGCTGCATTTGTGAACAGAGTGATGCGGTAAGACGGACAAGCTTTTATATCGTTGAAATAATATCAAATATTGGAAAGTCAAATTTGGTTTTTATTTTTTGTAATGTAAATACCCCTTTTTCATAAGTCAGTCATCCTCCATTTACAAAAATAAATATTTGAAAATGTGCATAACATTGCCTACAGATTAACTTCTGACACCATTCTTGGACGCACTGTTTTGGAGCAGTAAGTTTTAATTACAAAAGTACCATTTTTTTTTCTTCCTTGATTTTCGAAACTTTTTGTCTATCATAAGTAAGGGAAATGCAAGTAATGTCGGCCTAAGTGTCCCTAATTTGGGCCCATACATAAATTCAGCAATCGAATAAATTTTCAATAGCAACCAAAAATATCCATTAGTAACGTCCCAATAACGCGTTCATCTAGATAAAATTGATAAATAGCAGATTTTTAGCGATGGGCCCAATCTTAGATCCATAGGTCAATATTAGAGACATTTCCCCTACATTTAAAGTTTATTTTTCAGTTTTTCATTCTTATATTTACATGTTTTGTCTAGACGTTATTTGTTTTACATGTTTATAGAAACAATGAAAACTCAATACTTCGTTGGTCGAAAGTGGTTTCGCTGCAATTTTGTAATCTGAATTTGGAATATAGGAGCAATTTTCCTATGTACCGTAAGTAGGGATGGCATAGGGCTAAAAACTGGTGGTGTGGTGGTAAGCGTGATAGCCTCTCACCGAAAAAGCACCACCGGGAATTTCTAAGGCATAAAATCTCTGATCACGCCTTCCTTAGGATGGGAATTAAAGCCGTTGGTCCCCGGTCCATGAGTTGATTGATCGATAGGTATGGTCCAGGTTAGGGAGCTGCTTCCCTGAGTTCGCTAGCAGTGGTATAATAGAGGTAACTCTAAGACCAGAAGGTCCCGAAGATACGTGCTCAACTTTTTGACTCAGCTCTGGTACTCTCTTCGGTGCTAAGTTAATCGTGGTGAGCCAATTTAAAATCGTTAGTTTCCACCGGTTGATGGTACTCAGTATCAAAAACAAATCAAGAAAAAAAATAGGGCTACCAAAACCAAAAAAATCTATCCCTACCTTTCAACATTCACATTTTATTATGGAAAACATGTTTAAACATGTGAATATATTCATCAATGAATTATTTACGACTGACATGGAAATCGTTGATTGAAATTGATGCATATTTTTTTTTAATTAAATAAAAATTAAATCAAACCACAACCTTATGGAGGGTGACATGTTTTTTTTGGGTATCAAGCTGGAGCTGCGTGACAGCTTAGTTTTCCGGACTTGACCCATTTGAATAAATTTTGCTTCTATCTTTGACAATACAGCAGAAGGACTAGCCTATGTTGGAAGCTTGAACACTGGATTCCGTGAGTATTGTTTCAAGATAGTTATGGAAAAAAAATGCTGTGACGTGTGCGCGTAGATACATCCGCGTAGTAAACCGATTGAATAAGTAAATCCGTTGCGAACAAAATATCTCAATTATGTAAGTTGCGAAAACCGCACGAGTTCCGAGAGCCGTGCGAGATAACTGAAACGAGAAAAAAAGGCTTATTATCATTTAAAGAGTGCCACCAAAATTAATGTGATAGCCTATGTTGGCAAGTTGATTAATTTTGGTTTCCTTCCTAGATATTCTCCTTATTTTACTATTGAGCTTTGTATCAAAATAGTTAATTTGAAGAACGTATCAATCATTTCAAGATTTCGCGACCGTACCGAACAAATCTTAAACTACATAAGCTCAAAAAAACCTTTAGCAAGTTCTACCGAATTGCGAATCACTTCTGCGTAAGCTCCGTAGATGTAGGCGCATTGATTCCGACAGCTGCAAAAAGTTAAACATGCATCAATACCACATAAGGATAGATCGATTTTACAGTCACGTAGCGTTTAGTTCATGGATTAACATTTACTGCTGTTTCAGAATGTAAGTACTTGAACACTAAGACATAAGTTAACCGCATATATCGGCAAACATACTTTAGAATATAAAAAGCAATAAATGATCCATAGCAAATTTAAAAACGCTCCTTAAAAAACACAAAAATGATCCACAAAACCCCAGTGTAAATCCCTAAAAAAGTGTGAATGATCTATAAAAAATATCAATGTGATCAATATTTTATGTAAAATTTAGCAAAACAATTGTAAAAATGTGCCGCCAAATTTCTTAAGAATGAGCATTGAAATTGCACGAATTTCTCAGAAACATATTGCAAATGATCCATAAAATATTTAGCAATGAACCTTAAACTAATGAAAGTGATCCATAGAAAACCAAGTTTGCGCACTTAATAATATAGGCATGATCTATCAGTCCGCATCGTGCTCTCTTGCCGTGCGGATCTATTTGCTTTTTGCTTAAGGAAGTGTTACTACTACCTAAAGCTACAACAAATTTAAACAGCACTTTTCAGTGCTCAACCTGTAAAAATTTTCTACCTTGTTCAACTCCTCTTATTCCTCTTCGATCCTTGTTTGGACCCTACCCGAGGTAATCCTTCTTGGATATCGATTTGGAAAATTCCTCTTCGATCCTTCAGATTCTTATAGTAATCTGCTTGGAAGTCGATTTGGATAAAAAATTTACTGCCGCCATGGCGCCTAAACGCAAAAGAAAGGGGCAAACTCTTGACCCCCCTTCTGAAGAAATTAATTTGAGTAATCAATTTGATTTGCTCACGGATGATGAGAATGATCCATCATCCAAGAAAAATTCTAGTAAACTTTCCCGGCTTAATGCCAAGAAGGAAAAGATTCCCCCTATTGTGATAACCACTACCGATTTCCATGCTCTTCGCATGGAACTTTTGAATTTCGTGAAAGTTAAGTTTTCACTACAAATTGGACGTCGGGGTGAATGTCGTGTATTGGCTGAAACCTTGGACGGATTTAAATGTCTTCTCAAGTATCTTACTGAGAAGAAGCACAAATTTTTTACTTACGACACCAAAACTGAACGTGTGTTCAAGGTTGTCATGAAAGGACTGCCCAGTGGTGAATCCCTGGATCAGATCAAAGATGAACTGGCAAAATTACTTGGAGTTGTGCCACTCCAAGTAATCAAAATGAAAATGAAATCCCGTCCTGGCGATTCGCGCAACGGGATTTCTAATGATTTTTATTTAGTTCACTTCAAGTCTAGTGAACTAAACAACCTTAAGGCCTTAGAAAAAGCTAGCCTTATGCTCTATGTCCGAGTGAAGTGGGAACATTTCAGGAAGACTGGAGGAAATTTCCAAAACCTCACTCAGTGCCGTAAGTGCCAGGGATGGGGTCACGGAACTAAAAATTGCTACATGCCAGCTAAATGCATGAATTGTGGTGATTCCTCTCACGCAAAGGACGACTGTCCTGTGAAGGAAGATCCTAAGAAATTTAAATGTTCAAATTGTGGTGAAAACCACAAATCCAATTTTTGGGAATGTAAGACTCGCAAAGCGATCCTACAATCTCGTTCTAACCGACAGGTAGGAAACGCTCCACGTTTCCGACCAGGTACAAATTCCTCTGCTGTTAACAACGGTCAGCGAGGAACAAATTCTACATTCGTACCCGTAGGTACAAATATCACCCCTGCTTCAAATGTTTCATCTGTACCTACTCCCCTCGCTGCTAACAATGTTCAGCGAGTTAATGGAGCTACCTATGCTGCTATTGCAGCGGGTAGAAATCAAAATACTAGCCAAAGTAATTCTAACGGAAATTTTGACAATTTTGATTTAGTAAGCATTACTGCCCCTAAAATGGAATTTTTACAGAAATCATTAATTGACATGATTTCTGATATGCTTAAATCTAACTCCATGTTTGATGCTATTCAAACTGGAGTAAAATTTGCAAATAATATTGTCATGACTTTAAAATTCAGTAATGGATTTTAAAGCATTAAACATTTTAAATTGGAATGCTCGATCTCTTAAAGATAATGAAGACGAGCTATTTAAATTTTTTGAGAGTTCATAACGTGCATATTGCCGTTATAACTGAAACGTTCCTTAAACCTGACCATAAGGTTAAGAAGGACGCAAATTACTTGATTTATAGAAATGATCGTCTTGATGGACCCTGTGGTGGCGTTGCCATCATTATTCATAGACGAATCAAACATAAAATTCTTTCTTCATTTGAAACCAAAGTTTTTGAAACTTTGGGAGTTTCTGTTGAAACAAAATTTGGACAACTTACGTTTATGGCTGCCTATTTGCCATTCCAATGCGTAGGCCAGAAAAAGAATTTTCTCAAGGGTGACCTCCAGAAACTTACCCGTCATAGGTCTAAATTCTTCATTATTGGTGATTTTAATGCAAAACACCGCTCATGGAATAATGCTCAAAGCAATTCCAATGGCAATATTCTGTTTGATGATTGTTCTGCAGGTTATTACACTATTCAATATCCAAACAGTCCAACATGCTTTTCTTCT